GGACCAACCAAGGACCAACCAAGGACCAGCCAAGGACCAGCCAAGGACCAGCCAAGGACCAGCCAAGGACCAACCAAGGACCAACCAAGGACCAGCCAAGGACCAAGCAATGACCAGCCAAGGACCAGCCAAGGACCAACCAAGGACCAACCAATGACCAGCCAAGGACCAACCAATGACCAGCCAAGGACCAGCCAAGGACCAACCAAGGACCAACCAATGACCAGCCAAGGACCAACCAAGGTTTGGTTGCATTGATGAAATGATAGAAACAGGATAAAGGAATCTTTCTATGGTGGACGTGTTTCTGATGGGAGGGGCTGATGGAGTCATGAGGAACCAAGCAGGAAGTGACATCATCAGAGCAGAGCTCTCTAACCCTGAAATCCCACATCACCAGCGTTCCTTGGTGGGATTTTTATTTTGAGGATTTGGGGAAAAAATGTTAGAAAGTTCCCATCCCTGCATCAGAGCGCCACCTGTTGGATCTATGAACGGTTTTCTATGCTTGAAACCAAACTAGCAGCAGTAGTGGAGTTTGGAGATGTAACCCACTTCATAAATCTATCTTTGTTCTCCTCTATTTTATCCACAACTTCTGCAATTGCATTTTATTATTTTATTCTCCTTCCAAAGCAAACATGCAGGCAATCCTTCCTGATTGGTGATGAAAGCAAATGATTTCCTCCATTCTTCTTTGAATCCTCATCAACCATCTTCCTTTTTCCCCTTTGGGATCCACGGCCTGAGAAACACCCGCCGCTTTGTTTGCAGCAGCCACCTGCCTGGCGCCGTGCCGCGCCGCTCACACCTGCTGCAGGCTGTGACCTCTGATCTCTACGGATATGACGCTAATTTACGTTGAAAGAAATATTTACATTTATCATATAAATTTATCTAGTATGCAAACGTTTCCAGCATTAGAAAACATCATGAATGTTTGTTTGACCTCCTGCTCACCCTATTAAAATAAACAAACAACAAACAAGCTCCAGGGAGCCCAAAAGGGGGCGCTAAAGAGCTGCAGGTTGCCGAGAGACGTCATGTAAGATTTTAGGGCCCTAAAGCAGACGTATTCATAACTTTTAACTTTTCCCTAGAGAGTGTAGCGGCAGACCTGCGCTGTCAGAACGCTGGAAAATAAAACGTAAATCCTTCATTGACCTAAAATAGAGAATTAAACTCTGCATCATTTAACCCCTCCCCTTGGGCAGCAGTGGGCTGTCATTGTGCGGCGCCGGGGAGCAGAGGGGGGTTAAGGGTCTTGCTCAGGGACCCAGAGTGGCAGTCTGTGGGACTGAGTGGGGCGAGCATACCTGAAATATTTGACATCCCCTCATTTATTTCTTGGGTCTTTGCAAGAGACACGTTTTTATCGATTCAAGAGTTTAATGATTTATATATAATATCTTTAATGTTCATCTTGATATGGTTAAAAAACAAATGCAACAAAATATCAAAACGAGCACAGTTCTTTATACCGACGCCTCTTATTATATTTTAAATTATTTCAGTATTATTTGTGCTGTTCTTCCCTTTGCTGGAGGCTGATTTCTAATTAATAATACAAAATAATACGTTTTATGTCAAAGCTGCTTGTCTGGACACTCAAGGTCACACAAAGGATCAACAAAAATAATAAAAAAGGTTGAGAAATGAATACTAAGAAGTTTTAAACAGCTGAGTTTTGATTTAAAAATGGAGAAGTGAGTCTGTGTTTGTAAGTATTGAACAGTTCTCCATTACACAAAAAACACAGGATCAAAATAGATCAAAGATCAAAATAACACTTTAAAATGCTGTGGTTACGTTAAACTACAGGAATAAATATGAAAGTGGCGGCAGCACCGTGCTCTTTCTTTGCGCTGGAAGCTGTCCTGATTGCACGCTAGGTTGGGTTGCAGGTGCAGCTGCTATCAGAGGCGGGCGGACGGTCTCCTCATGTTGTTGACGTCTGTGTCTTCAGCAGGCGTAGAGCTAACAGAACTGGCAGCGTTGCGAGGCAAGGGCTCAAACATGTACGGCTGGAAGCCTTCTGCACCAAACCAAGCTTCTGTCCATAGCGTTCCTTGACAGTGTCGTTTCTAAGTCACCAATTTAGTGCTACTTGGTCCCAATGGAATTTCCCATTGGGAACCTGCTAGCACTAAGATGCTAACTGGTTAGCAAGATGCTTCCAACAAACCGGCCCCAACCAAACTTGCTTGCGAACCTTCCTCCACAACAATCCCGCCCCCTTGATAATCGACCAATCACATTCACTTTATTCACTTGTGTAAAGTCGGGCACCACTCTGGAGAATTCGGAACTGCAGCGGTTGGAACGGCTTCTTCTCTACGACTTTTAATGCATTTTTTTTTATCTTCTTCTCGCCACTAGGGGGTGCTGCAGCACCTCCATTTCCTGCAGCCATGAAACACAGTTTTCTTGGTGTTTAAATGGGGAAAAGTAGGGAAAATGCAAATTTCAGTTAACAAAAAAATATGTCGTCTTCTAATAAAATACGGCAGCAGCTACGTGCTACACGCCATTCCTGAAGGCTTCCAATGAAAGGTTGAGAATAAACTTCCAGACCTGACAGTGCAGGTGACTCCATCGTGCAGGTCTGCAGCCAGAGTCCTCTCACCTTGATATTTTCATTAACGAATAAACGTTCGAACGAACAGACTCTAAACACCTTTCAGATGTTTTAAATCCATGTTTCTTTGCCCAATGAGGCTGATTAGCTTTTAGAGGCTTAAATAAAAAGGTCAGAGTGAATACTTGGTCTGCATGTTTCTGCTTGGCTTCATGGAGGCTTTATCTGCTGATTTGTTTTTGCAGCATGGATCAGGTGAAAGGGGTGCTGACTCTGCAGGGAGAAGCTCTGACTCAGGCTGTGAGTAGTCACTCTTTCCACATTCACCCTCCGAATTTAGCTGCATGACATCTTTTAATGTTTAACTCTCCTCCACAGGACATTAACCTGAAGGTCGCCAAGAGCAGCCAAGTCCTGCATTTTCAGTTCAGAGAAGACAAACAATGGAAGCTGCAGCAGGTAGTCTGAAATTCCTGTCCGTTCAGGAAACGGGTTTCAAAAAGTAAACCAACCAGATTATTTTAGAGGAAACAAAGCTGCAGCATGACTGCTTGAAATAATATGCTGGTGCAGATTCTCAGTCATCCAGGTCATATAGTCGTTCCATAAAAGTTAAAATCAATCCACTGGACTTTGTTTCCAAGTTTGAAGACGTTTCTCTTCCATCCAGGCAGATTTTTCAGTTCAAAATATCAGAAATAGCGTTTAGTTCCAGGTTTTATCCAGCAGCCCAACTAAGCCTGGTTTTAGTTTAGAGAACATGCAAATAGAAACGGATGAACGGGTCCCCCCCTTTGGAATGGGGGTCGTTTCAGAGACATAGACAGGTATGGGGCATTGCAGGTCAAAAAAGAAGCCAAACGACCCCCATTCCAAAGGGGGGGACCCGTTCATCCGTTTCTATTTGCATGTTTTCTAAACTAAAACATGCGGTGTTTTTACGGTGGCCCAGAGGTGTCAACACTGATACGAAAGCTGCAACAGATTTAAATATAAAAGCCATAGACATTATATACGTAGACATCTCATTGGACGCTGACGGCAGCGAGGCCGACATGCACGGCGGGCGGCCATCTTGGATCGGACCACAGTTCAGCTGCTGTCAGAATGCAGAGGAGGCGCCTTAGATTTTAATCCCATGAAAGACGAGTCAGAGATGATATTACAATAATCTCTGACACGTCACAACCCCTTAAAAGACCAAAACAAATTCTAAAATTACCTTTTAGCTAGATTACACCGATTTATTCACATAAGAAACTATTTAAACTGAACTCAAACTGGATGAAATGCATGCAAAGTTATATATTTTGCAATTAAATATTAATATGATAAACACAAAGTTTTATATTAATATATTATAATATTATATGTATATATATGTATATATATATGCTGCAGCTTTTGTATTTGTGTTGACACCTCTGGGCCACCGTATAAACAAGGCGTTGTTGCTCTACTTTATAAAACCTGGAACTAAACGCTATTTCTGACATTTTGAATTGAAAAAGCTTCCTGGATGGAAGAGAAACGTCTTCAAACTTGGAAACAAAGTCCAGCGGATTGTAATAATGCATCATATTAACAATGCGCATTAGTTAGAGCTGCCTGTTCACTTCCTGGTTCCCCCTGTGTGCGTTCCGCGGTCTCAGCCAGGCTGCCTGTGTTTCTCTGGTTCCCCTCCGCTGCTAAAGCACCAACATGTCTGGTTAAAGCAGTGGATTTCCTGCAGGGCCGGCCACCGTTCAATTAGTACTGAAATACTGGTAACAGGACACCATGTTGGTGTCATAATAACAGAAGCACTTCCTCTCAGATCTCAGTGAACTTTAGTTTCTAAGGAGTTTTTCAAAGTGGAACTGGATGACATTTAAAAAAACAACCAAGAACACGAATCCGATCATTCTGCGGAAAACATTTAATCATTAGATGAACCAACTGAAGCCCCTACAGGCCAGGCTGAACCTGAGCACCCCCCCCGGACTGAACCAGCAACCAGACCGGAAACAGAGCAGAGAGATTTCCAGACCAGCTAAAACCAACTGGACGCTTCCCAGTAGCACTGGGAGCAGAGGAGTCAAATTATTCATGTTTATTCCTCCAGTATAAATCCTGCTGTTTAAAAACACTTTTAATGAAGTTAGAGGATCAACTTCAGCTTTTTACTACTATAAAAGTGTAATAGCACCATTTTAAAAACTAAATTATAAAAGTAATGCAGTAAAAACTGTTCAGGCCAGAAGCTTTACTGCTTTACTCTATTAAAGGAACATTTTTCTACCATTCTGGATGATAACTTCCTTAGATTTTATTTTCTTAGTTTTATAACTAATGGTAACAGCGTCATGTTTAACTTTACATCATCTGGAAAAATTATTTATTTTGGTCTGTGGTGAGCAACAAGTTGGGGCAGCACCGAGTCCAATTATAAAGAAATGAATTGTCTGGATGAAACTAATTATTTTGTTGGTTTTTATTTTTTTAAACACCAACAGGCCATAAATGAAAATGAGCTTAAATAAAACAAAACTAACAAGACTATTTTTAAAACATAAGGAATAGAAGGAAAACGTTCTCTAGAGATAATTACTGCAGTAAAGTATAGATGGGCAACATTTCTACTGATGGTAACAAAGTATTTGGACTTTACTGGACCCCTCTGTCTATTGGTAGAAGATCTATATTTATAAAGGATTGGTTGATTAAACAAATCTGGTCAATTTCTCACTTAATGGATGGAAATGGTGATATTTTAAGTTCAACAAGCTTCAAGGAACTGATTGTTCGTTAACAAGTTACAATAAAGTTTTGCGTTGTATACCTGATGTTCTCCTTATGTCAGTTAATAACATTATATCTAATTTCTCCCTATTCCAAAACTCCATAAGCTTTAAATTGAGCGTTAGAGATAATAAATGCACCAATAGGTTCTTGAATCAATATTTTATATATAATATGTACCCTGGTGGAACTAAACGTACATTTCTCTTACAACATTTTAACAAATCGACGAAATCTACAATAATCAAAATTAGGAAAAAAATATTATTAATTATTATAATTATTTGAAATGCCCAATTCCTCCTAAATATAAAAAATTACAATTTATAATAATAAATGACACATATTCTTCAAATGAGTACTTAAGAGAGAGATTTAAACTCAATGTTTGTAATTGTGATTTCTCTACAACTCAATTGGAAACTACTAATCATTTGTTTTATGAATATAAAGAAGTAAGAAACCTCTGGGATCTACTTCAGATCTTTCTATCTTCTAGATCTATAAATGTAGACTTTAATTCCTTACAAATAATTCAGTTTGGTTTATATATTAATGAAAAAAAAAAAACTGGAATTCTTAGTTAATACTTTGATGATTATAACCAAATATTATATCCATAAATGTCGTGATGCAAAATGCCTCCTTCTCATTCTCTGCTCTCAAAAACAAACTTTCCTCCTTTAACCGACGTCTGAAGAAGATGAAACCTTAAAGCAAATAAATTGATTTAATGGAAGAATTTCAGTTAGTCCCCTCTTCTTAATAATTTATTTATTTATTTTAGTCTGTAATTTTTTATTGGAGTTAATAGGAGTTGTGATCTTATTTGTTTCTTGTATTGTTCATTATTGACGTATTGTTTAATTTGTCATTGATATTCTGTTTTTTTTTTTTTTCAATAAAACAGACCTACCAGCAGGTGGCGATAGTAGCAGCTACTCAGAAATGAATCTGAAAATGGTTCATTTTAACCCAAAAGTCGATGATGTTTTAGATGCTGAGAGTTTTACTTTTGTCTGATTCAGTAGAAAACTTTTAATATTTCGCCTTGATGATGAAAATAGAGGATTTATCACCAAAAATAAATATTTTCTTATTCAGAAACTTTTAATTGAAGAGACCTTATGGAATATTTTACAGTAAAATATCTATAAATCATTTTTTATTCTGCCTTTTTAGGACTAAAACCTGGTTTGATGTTTTAGTAGTTCAGTATTGATGCGTCTATCAGCCTGTTTTCCCTGAATTTACTTCCTGTCAGAAGTTCCCGCGCTGTTCCATGTTAAATGGTCTGACTTAGCAAACAATCCAGGCTTTATATTCAGAAGCGAACAGCATCCAGCTCAACTGAACCTGACGGCAGCTCCAGGAAAAGATGGAAGTAGAGAAAAAAAAGTGTTCAGTTTTAGGCTGAAACTAATAATTATTTTATCGCTTAATAATCAGAAAGCCAAATGTTCCTTAAAGAAGACTTTTTACAAAAGTAAACCAGCTGAACTTCAAACTGTTTTGGAAAGAGCACATTGATGGACGAAAACATATTTTCGCAGTTTAATTTTATTTAGAAAATCTGTTTTTACAGTTCAGTCTAATTTTAGTGATCTATAAATGGAAACAGAAAGGACAGTGTTTTTAATAAATGTAATATAGTCACTTCATTTAATTTACGCATTAACCTGAGCAGCAATCCTTTCCTTCACCTTTTTCCTCTCCTTATTTCTCTGTCTGGCAAATCTGGTCTGATTGGTTTATTCTACGGGTTTAGTAGTTAACACTGGATTAAAAGCTGGATTAAATCTAGCTGAGATAACCAAGACCATCACTGCAGTATCACTTATTTTATCTATATTTAAGCAACTTTAGTTAAAATGTTGATTTCTTTACAATCTTGGTATAATTGCTGCTTTAAGTGTGTCGCTCTGTCAGCTAAAGGAACATTTTAGTCTCTATACTCCTGTTAACGTTTAATTTTTTACTAAATTAGTTGAGGATTATATAAGTAATTTATTAATCTGATTAATTGTTTCATTCCTGGTTTAGTTTGAGCGTGAGCAAAACAGAGCTGCAGTTCTGTGTTTTTGCCACAGGTGGCAGTATAATTAGAAGACTTGGTAATCCTTCTTTATGATCCAATTTAACTTATTTGCTTTAAAAAAACAAACATTTATCAATTAAAGAGTGATTGCAAATTGATTGAAGGTCTTGCTGCCCACAGCATTACAGTTCCTCCACCTTGGCTGGTTGGTAGAACAAGACGGTTCCAGTTAAAGTCCAAACCCAGTTCAGTTAATGTCTGTGATATTTCCAAGGCAGCAGCAGCATGCAGAGGTTGCCATGGAGACCCGTTTATCCATAGATGCCACTCTGCTGCTGGTCTGCAGACCATCCTGCTGCTGCGTAGATCTGAAGCTGTCCTCATTCCTCTGCTCTCCGTCCCCCCCCCTCAGATACAGGATGCCAGGAACCACGTGAACCAAGCTCTGCTGCTTCTGAGCAGCCGCGATGAGACGTACCAGTTCAAGACTGGAGCCGAGGTCAACAAGGTGGGTCAATCTGAGCCGGACGCGTCTGAAACCCGGAGCGTCTGTGATGATGACCGACCGGATGTTTGTGTTTACGCTGCAGCTCATGGACGCGGTGATGTTGCAGCTGACCAGAGCACGGAACCGCCTCACCACCCCTGCATCCCTGACTCTGCCAGAACTTGCCACCAGTGGACTGATGGTACGGAACGCCATGGGAAGGCCGTTCACACCCTGGAGCATGCAGGCGGCAGCATCATGCTGTGGGCCTGCTGTTTCCTCAGTAGGAAAGGGAGAGCTGCTGCAGTGTTAGCTTTGCATTGTCACTCTTCACATATTAACATCTATCTGTTATGCTACGTTCAAAATGAACGCTTTCAGCAGCAGAAGCAGCCGCTTTA